TGCAGCCTTATTGGTCTACACAGACTTCCAACCAACAAGAGTGGAGTGATACCTTAAAAGCCCTCCCTGCCTGTTTTAATTCCATTGACACACTCTTGTCATGACTTACTGGTTGCTGTTGAAAATCAAATATCAATAGGGTCAGGTGACAACTTATAAAAAGTATAAGCATCTAACTAAAATGAAAGTTAAGTAGAATTTTTTATTATTATTCATTGACAGATTATCTATAGGCAGTCCTGGATGGCCTGGAACTCAGAGATTCACCTGCTTATCTTTGAGATAAGACATACACCACCATAAAAAATAAAAAAGAACTTATGCTCCACCAATCCATAGCCAGTCTCACTGTTCTGGTCTACCAGCCATTCTCAAACATTCCAGACACACTGGCTTCCTGTATTCTTTGTGAATGTGCCAGACGTGTTCCTCCTCAGGAACGGTATATCTGCCTCATGCTCTCGTGGACCCTCGGTCCCCGGGAGATTACATGCCTGCTCCCATCTCTTATATTCTTTAGGTCTTTGCTCAAATTCCACTTCCTCTTTGAGGGGTTCCCAGTCCATCTAATTAAAATTAGTGTCTTTGTCCCCACTGCCTATTTAACTTTCCTCCATGATACCTATGAGCACTTGACAAACTGTACAGACTGATTGTATACCTATTTGGCAGTCCATGCTAGAGTTTAAGTTCCATGAGGTTAGGATTATTTTCATATCCCCCAGTGTCTTGCTTGGGGTTTCTATTGCTGTGAAGAGACACCATGGACCAAGGCAACTCTTATAAAGGAATACATTTAATTGGGTGGCTCACATGTCAGATGTTCAGTCCATGATCATCATGGTGAGACATGGCAGCATGCAGGCAGATATGGTGCTGGAGAAGTAGCTAAGAGTCCTGCATCTTGTAGGCAACAGGAAGTGGTCTGAGACACTGGGTGGTATCTTGAGCATATATGAGACCTCAAAGCCTGCCCCCACAGTGACACACTTCCTCCAATGAGACCCACACCTACTCCAACAAGGCCATAGTCCCTAATGGTGCCACTCCCTTTGGGGACCATTTGCTTTTCAAACCACCACACCCAGTAACTATCTCATCTAGCAATAGCTGATTCCTCAAAGAGTGAGTTATGGGTTAGTTGGATTGGATGGGTTGGTGAGTGGATAGATGGCAAAATATAAATTTGCTCATTTCACATTTCATAAGAATATTCCTTGCCTCTAAAAGTTATTACTGAGAGTTGAGGAGAGGGGTTCGATGGATAAGAGCACTGATTGCTCTTCCAAAGACTGAGGCTCCAGTCCCAGCATCCATGTGGAGGGTCATATAGTGTAGCTCTCATTCTAGGGGATCTGATGCCTTCTTTTTGTCTCCATGGGCACTAGGCATGCAAGTGGTGCACAGACATATATGCAGGCAAAACACCGGTAAACATAAAATAAAATTAGTATTGAAATTAAAGGAAAATTATGTTATTAGTTTTAAGGTATAGATTTTAAAAGTCAATAAAAATCAAATGACCTACTGAACTCTCAGGGCTGGTAAGTGGAGAAAATAGTCTAGATGCCAGCTCTCTGACAAGTGAGTGGTGGCTCTTCCTATGCTGCTATTTTTAAAACTCTCCTGAATTTAGTTAAATGCTAAATTCAAAAAGGAATAAGATTAAGTAAATGTTTATATGAACAATCACCTTTTTTTTGAACATTAGTGTCATGAATAAGCAAACTGAAAATCATGAAAACAAGAAAATTAATTTAATTTCAGTCAACACTGATAAAATTTCAACTAGAACAAAAATATTTTAGGCTATTACATTGATTGCCCCTAGCAGACGATACTGGTATTTGTCTCCTCGGTAACTAGTATAAATTTCTGTACCTGCCTCACAGTTCACACCTTGGGTTTATCTTGTCTTTTCTCTACAGTTTTCTTTGTCTCAACACCCATGCCTGTCTACGGCATCCACAAATGCTATTTACCCAATTTCAGTTTTTCTCTTTTTATTCAAGCAGAAGAGCTCATATCTTAGGGGCTAAATCTTCAGGCACTGGCACAGTGTTTATTCATGATTTTCAAAACACTCCTTGTCACTCTATTATATAAGAGACCTCACTGTAAATATATGGCTTTGCCTCTACACTGTGAAAGCAATGAATGAGAAGGCGCCACGGGCTCCCCGGATAGTAAGTCATTAACTTACAGCTATCAAAGCCTTCCTGAATTAACTCTTAAATCCCACCCTGCCCATTCTTACCTCACTTCAAGCTTTCTTACTTCTCTGTGATCATCAGAAGAAAATATAGGTTGCTTCTTAGGGGGGAAAAACAGTGAAGGTCTCCATCTGTAAAGTCGTTATCTAAATTGTAATATTTTGGACTAAAATGAGAAATACTATATCAACTGAAAAGAACAATGAGCTTGGAATCATATCGGACCCTGCTAAGTTCTATGGCATTGGCCAAGTCATTTAACCAAAGGGTATTCATTTTTGCAACATAAAATTAAGGAGATTGTAGTAGACCCATGTAACTGGAGGTTCCTTGTCCCACCAGGTCCCTCTGCTGATCAGCCCCAAATAAACACACAGATGTTATATTAATTACAAAACTGTTGGCTGATGGCTAGGGCTTCTTACTGGCTAGCTCTGTCTTAATTACTAGCCCATTTCTATTCATCTATGTATTTCTACACGGCCTAGTCTTATCAGACAACTCCTAGCACTTCCTGTCTTCCTGGTCTCTACATGGCATCCCTCTTCACGGTCTCTCCCTGCATACCTTTCTCAGAATCCTTGTCATCTCCTAGTTCCACCTATGTTCCTGCCTCTATTGGCCAAACAGTGTCTTATTCATCAACTAGTAAGGAAAACATATATTCAGAGGGACAACCCCCATCAGACCCATCTTTCCAAGTTTTGTGTCCAACAAAACATTAGTTTTGTGTAATATTAAGAAAGAGCTATTTCATTTCATTCAACAGAGATTTATTGATTGACTACCACTTTAATTAGATGAGCCAGGATACATAATCTTGGATGCTATTTAGGTAGAGAGGGCCTCAGAACAGGAGGGGGCAAAGGGCAAGGAGAATACAATGACAAAACCAGGATACCAACCAATCGTCAATCAAACATCATGCCTCAGAAGCAACACTGAAAAGCTGTTTGGGAATTTTCAAGGGGTATTTAAAAAGCAGTCCAGAGACATGTTATATGTCAAACAGAATAAGTTACAAGGATTCTAAATAAAGACACTCTGGTAGAATTCCTGTAAGTCACCAACAGAAGCAGGGGAGTAAGGTCACATACAAAGGAAGGAGAACAGACTGCTGATTTCTAAAGAACAACAAAATCTTCATTACAGTGGATGGAATAAAAACCTTTAAAATTGCCAAGAGGCCCAGGTGTGCTTATAATCCCAGCACTCAGAGGCTGAAGCAAGAGGATTGCTCTAAGTTCAAGGTAAGCCTGTACTACATAATAAGTTCCAGAGCAACCATGGATAAATAGATCATTGCTCAAAAAAAGTATTAATTATCTTTCAAAGATGAAGCAACAGTAAGGACAGTTGTTTATGTATCCATGTGAATTCACTACATCTTTTACTACTAGGGAATGAGCCCCCAGGCAGAAGCTGAGAGTGGGAAGGAATGAAGAAAGCTTATATCCAAGAATGTCCCCTGCAGGTGAGTAATAGAGTGTGTTTTAGTAGACCCCTATATATAGCAGCCAATGGGATGATAAACGGAGTTTCAAAATAACCTGTACTACTAAGAAGACAGACTAAGTTTTAATTTTAGGTTTTAATACTGTAAATGTATTTGGGCAAAGCATCCCAGGGTGAATACTGGAATAAACAACTCAGGTGGCTTCCAAGGAGAAGAAAGGAAGATGCAAGATAAAACTGTCCGTTCAGTCGAGAACAAGATAAACTACCCGTTCAGTCAGAACAAAGGCAGAAGAGGCCGGGGAAAACAACAACGACAACACAACAAGCCCGGAGATAGTCCCAGCACGCCGAAGTCGTTTGGAATGTTGGCATGAGAAACGGCCATCAAGGAGGTAATGAAGGCAAACGCGACCTGGCATTCCTAGGATACTAGATAAATAAATAGCAAGTCAGCTCCTACCCAGTGCCAGCGTTCAGGGCCGTGGTTTAGAGACACTCGGGTAGATGGGGTTATGCAGTTGGAAAATTCTACCTTTGCCCTCGCATTTCGCTCCCTTGAAGTCTTGAACGTGAACTCCCATCCCCTTATCAGCGCTGTGCACTTCCTTCTAGGTGTGTCGGCTAAGGTGCCGCATCTGTAAACCACTGTTGTGGAGCGTGTCTGTCGGCACGCTAGAATTTCCCCATTTCCCACAGGGTTAGGCAGCAGCCGTTTTAATTTTTCACTTCACTTCGGCATTCTTGAGTGCTACTTAGCACATGAGATTGTATTTTATGACTGCCTTGATCAGCAAAGGGTTTGAGTTGTGCCAGCCCTCTCTACCAGATCCCCAGGCAGAACAGCTGCAAAACTTAATCTCGCCTTTGGTAATGAATTCATTCGTCTCATTTGTATGCAACTCAGGCCGACTAACCACAACTTTAAAGGAAAATGAGGGCTGATCTCTTTAAAGAGAGCGAATATGGAGCAGCCTGATCCCTGAGAGGCTCTGAGAGATTGAAGTTGTTCCGAGTCTCACCCCCAGGCTTTTACAAGCATAGAGCCACACAATCAGGAAGAGATTTGACCATCCTGTCAATCAAAGATGCTGCCAGCAAACCTCCCTCATTGCAATTGATTAGCCCAAGGCACCTATCTGAGGAGAGTAAAAAGAGCACCACTAGAAGTCAGCTCTGTTCGGTCTCTTAATCTTTTTGAGTCTCAATTTACTCATCTGTGAAGAAGGAGGATTCAAACATAATCACCTACCTACCAGCCTGATGTGTTAAGCTTTCATGGGCATCAAAATTACCCAGATAAATTATCTACTGACAGATGGCCGAGCCTACCTCCACAGTTTCTGATTCAGTGTTTCTCGGGCAGATCCTGTGAACCTTCATTTCTAGCAAGATCTCTCGCTGAGGCCGTTGACGCAAGACCACACTTGGAAGCCCTGCTCTGTGAAGGTCTCTTCCTACTGAATGACTGTACTCTGAAGCACTGAAAAATTCAAATACAGGATATACTTAATATTAAGTGAATATGCAAAGCAATTTCTGATAATTTGCATAAGCATCACGTGCATTATCATACCTCATTAGTGCACTGTAGATAAGAATCATTTGTAACGCTGAAAATCTGCCTTCAACAGTTAGTAAGCAGCCTTGGCACACACACAATTTACTTTTCTCAAGCAAAAATGCCCTTCACAAAATCTGTTAAATGTGCAAGGCTGACCCTTTACTGCGTACTGTGTGTACGCAGTAAAAAGAGTCACTTTTATGTTCATAGGTACCAGAGAAAAAGTTCAGCTCAGGTATTTATCTGTCTGACCAGCTCTCTCCTCACTCTTAGAATCCTTTATATATTTGGATAAAAACTGAACTGGGTTCTATAAAATTCATAAATTACTGCAAGTGACTTTTATCAAATTGTTTCTCAAATCCAATTGTTTTTTAAAGAAAAGGGCCGGGCAAGGGCATGGCTCAGTGCGAGCTGCTGTGCTCCGTTGGTGGTATAGGGCAAGAGGATGGCCGGTGGGGAAAACCGATACTGAAAATTCACCAGGACCGCTCGTCTGTGCATCTTCTCCCCACGGGTAAAGATCAGATCTACTCATATTAAGTCTAAGACTGCAAAATCCACATGAAGAAAATCCCGTGGATCACATCCGCCTAACAACAGCAACAAAAAGCCAACGCCACGAACAAAACAACTGCTGTTCACAACATTCTTCACAGCTCCCGGCACACAATACTGATGACGGCTCTAGAAGGGAACGTTGATATAATGACCTGAAGACCAGGACTCTCCTACCACCAGGTAGAAATGGCTGTGCCAACGCATTCTGCCATCTGGAATGGCAACTCAGGGTCCACAGCTCCCTGATGCACAGAAGATAAAGACCACATCTCCGGGCCAACGTTGTAAATGGGAACAAGAAGAAAGAAATTGAGTAGTTGCATGCTCTCCCAAGTGACTCTTTTTACGGCGCTGCTCATTTCTCCATCTGATTGAAATTCTATTAGAATATTCCAGAACTCCTTGAGGCTGGAAAGTCTTGGGCTACTGCATTCAATTGAACCACAAATACACATGTCTTAGTCTGTTCAGGCTGCTGTAACAAAATGCCATAAACTGGATACCAGATAAACATTAAATTTTTTTTGGACAATCCTATAAGCTAGAAAATCCAAGAACAAAGCTCTGGCTGTTCTGGGTCTACTTCTGGGTTTACAGGTGCTAGCGTCTTGCTGTTCTCTGACATGGTAAAAGGGATGAGGGTTTTCTCTTTGGCCTTTTTTATACAGACATTAACCCATTTTTTCCAGAGCAATGGATTCAAGACTAAACACCTCCCGACCACCCTACCTCCTAATGCTACCACCTTGGTTAGCTTTCAGCATCTAGGATTTAACTTGGGAGACAGAAACATTAGTCTGCAGTAATACTCTATGTCATAAACAGAGAGAAATTTTTGAAAGGAAAACAGCAAGATGTGGCACCCTAAAGAAGCTGCAGGATTTACAAGTCAAAAGTCCTGCCCCGTAAATTCCAGTAGAAACAGCATCAGAAAAGCCAGCCTGTGCACAGCTGACAAAGGTAATGTTATCTGGGGCCTTAGTACACTGTACCCACTTACGTGACTACGGCAAGGCACTTTTCCAAGATAACCAAGGGAGAAGCGACTTCATCTATTTCAGTAAGCACAGGGTCAAAACCCTGCTGCTGCGTAAGGGCTCTAAAATTAAACGCAGGCAATGCGGGGCTGAGAGGCATACCGTTAACTGTGGGGTGGAAAGCCTCGAGGCCCAGAGGCAGCCAAACCCTCTAGCTGCCATTTTTCTTCGTGCACAGCTCCATTGCCTTATAAAGGAGCCGGCAGGGCTCCAAACATGAGGTGTCGCCTGCAGCTGGCCTGCCATGGTTGAAATCCCAGTTCTGCCATAGAAGGGTGCTGACTTAGGCCAAGGCCCTCCAGTGTTTTGCACCTGTTTCCTCAACTACAAAATGTACCAAAGGGGAAATAAGTAGTTACTCGCCTAACAGCGTTTCTGCAAGATTAAAAGACTAACACAGTCAAATCGTGCCTGGCATAAAGTCAGTGTTATGACTAAGGTTTGCCTTTTGTGCTTTGTTCTGCAAACGCAGCAATGTCAAGGACTCAGTTACAGACAGTCACTGTGGACACTCTCCTTAAATCCCCTCACACAAAGGGTGGCACCTTCAGGACATTTTAGAGAACGGAACAGAGGGCAGAAACTTCTCCAGAGTGACTACCTGTCTGCAGAGCCAGAGTGACATCTCCCAGAATGCCTGCAGAGGTCAGCCAGAACAGCATTTGGAGTCTGGGACTCAACCTGTCACAAAACCTAAGCAGGAAACACTACCACAGAGCTTCGGCTAAGGTGCCCACCTAGCATGTGCTCCCTAATGCCCTCCCTCCAGGAATCAAGCCAGCCCTGCTTCAGAAACAGAGGCTGGCTAATTCCCAAGGCTCTAAACTATTAAGTGGCAGGAGTGTGACTTTCTGGCATGTGTGACTTGTGTCAGACACACCCTCTTTCCTCAGATCATGCTTTGTCTTCCATCCAAGGGCAGAGCTGAGAAACAGAAGTTCCTGCTGCTGGTGTCAGATATATGACTTGGAGGCGTCTTTTCACCTGTGACCAGCACCCTGTGGGGCTCAGCCACTGCTGTGGTGGCCACGTGTGTTACCTATACCCCCAATGGCAGCCTGATCTAGCAATGTGATAAATAATAAATAAATGAATAAATAATGTAAGCCGACCATGACCTAAAGCAACCAAGGGATGGAAGGGTTTAATTCATCTGCATTTCCAGGTCACCGTCCATCACTAAGTGAAATAAGGTTAGAAACTCACGGGAGGAACCTGGAGGCAGAGACTGTGGAGGCACGCCGCTTGCTTGGTGATTCACTCTGACCCGGCTCATACTCATCTAGCTTTCTTATAAAACCCGGAACCATCCGCCTGGGGATGCTTCTACCCACAGCAGACTAGGGTCTCCCGCATCAACTAAAAACATTCAAAACAGCCCTCCCAAACATGCCTATCGGCCATTATGACCCAGGCGATTCCTCAATATAAGCTTTTCTCTGAGGTGGTTCTAGACTGTGTGGAGTTGACAATTAAAGCTAATTAGGGCACGGCCCAAGTTTCTGGACTAGAAGTTTCTCCCCTGCGCTAGGGAGACCTTCTACCTAACACATAGTCCGATTGCTGGCCTCTTTGGCGCAGCCAAAATGATAGTCAAACCCCACTTCTGCCACTTCTCAGCTACGTGTCTCTAAGCAAAACTCCTGGGCTTTCAGTTCTGAGGACAAAGGTGCCTGGACTTGTGAGGAGGCTTGTATGAGATCAAGAGCCTAGCGCAGTCCAGCACAAACACAGAAGGCCAAGCCTGTGTTCAGCCAGGAGAATGGGAGTAGACAAGCGGATGGTCATGGAAGCTGTCTGACAGTACACGGCTCTCATTCCCTGCCACGGGTGTAACCATCCGCCCAGAAGCTTTAGTTCTCTTCTGGGGGCTAACAACCCCTATTGGTAATGAGAAAATTAAGAGGAAAACAACTCATTGCACATACGAGTGTGTGCGTGTGTATGCGCGTGTGTGGTGCATGTGCACGGGTGCATATGCGTGTGTGTGCATTATAAATGCATTTTAGGTGGGATAGTACTAACTGTTATCTGCATGTGTGGAGACCAGAGGTCAACATTATTTTTCTTCCTCTATCATCCCCACCATACTTTTTGAACCCAGAGCTCCCTGTTTTTGCAAGACTTGTTGGCCAGGGAATTCTAGGTACCTATCTATTTGTCTCTCCCATGGGAGTTTCAGGTGTCCGGTTGTCTGTAGTTACAGGCACATACCATCACTCACTGCTTTTAAAAGAAAATTACCTTAATTTTTAAGTGCTTGCAGTGCAACCACAAGCTTGTTTCTCCAGAAGCCATGGAAGTAGTGGGGGATGGGGGCCAGCAAAATGGCTCTGTGGGTTAAAGGCTGTCACTGTGCAGGTCTCATTGGTTCCTGGAACCCACATAAAGGTGGAAGGAAAGACTGTCTCCATAAAGTTGTTCTCGGCCTCCACAGGTACACCGCAGCATAGGGACTCCCCATCACACATACACAAGCTTGATAATAATGAATCAAAACACATTTAAAATGGTTCATAATGATCTATGTTTATTACATTAATAACGGGTAGGTGGGTGTCTACATGTACGCATGTGAGTGCAGGCACCCATGGGGATTGCCTGGATCTGGAGTTCCAACGGTTTGTGGGCTGCCTGACAGGGATTCTGGGAACTGAACTCAAGTCCTGGAAGAGCAGCAGTGTGTTCTAAACCACTGAGTCACCCCAGTCCCCAAACAATGTTACTCTTACTAAAACCTTTGCTTTTCAAGACGCTCATTTTCCCTGTACACTTATTAGTCATAAGAATTAATCTGCATTCCCATGCTGTGTGTGTGTGTGTGTGCAATCTTGATAGACTGAGTATTTTTCATAGACTATATATGTATCATATGAAACACAGATATACATGTGTGTGTTATATGTGTGTATCTACATATGTAGATGCATCTACAGGTGCACACACACGTGCATAATTTAAAGGCTTTTAGGACATCTACCTTTAGACCATTTTTAGGAACTCAGACGTGGGTTCCAGAGGAATTTCACTTTCTGTGAGTTAAGTATTGAACAACTGTACCTTCCTTTTTGGACTCAATTGTCTTTATTATCTCCTCAGGCTGAACTGGACTGTCAGGTCACACAGTTTTGTTGAATCAGCTCAATCTGTTCATTAAAGCCTTCCCATCTTTTCCACAGACGTGGGCTTAAGTGAGAGCAATTCAGACCTTATAAACTGGTGACATCCTCAGGTCCTCCAGGCCCTAGATCACTGATGGCCCCTCAGCCCACCCATGTCCTAAGACTTTATGAGAATGTTAATGATCAGCCCCTTGACACT